AGAGATTTTCAGAGATCTGTTGAGATAAAATATGACATTTGGAATTCTTAGTGTATAAAGAAACAAGTCCTTAATGATTTTTTAAATATTATTTTAGTTTTAGATAGACAAAATGTCTTTATTTTATTCATTTATTTTTTTAAAAAATTAGTTTTAATTAGTTATGCATGACAGTAGAATGTACTATGATACATTATACATAAATGGAATGTAATTTCTCATTTTATTAGTTACACATGATATAGAATGGCACTGGTCATGTAGCCATATATGTATATAGTGTAATCATGTCTGATTCATTCTACTATCCTTCCTACTCCTATATGTCTAATTCATCCTACTATCTTTCCTCCCTTCACTCTTCTCTACCCAATATAAAGTATTCCTTTTCTTCCCTAGCTCCCCCACTATTATTATGAGTTAGCATCTGCACATCAGAGAGAAAATTTGGTGCTTGATTTTTGGAATTGGCTTCTTTTGCTTAGCATGGTATTCTCCAGCTCCATCCATTTACCAGCAAATGCCATAATTTCATTCTTTTTTAAGGCTGAGTAATATTCATATGTATATATACCACATTTTCTTTATCCATTCATTTCTTGAAGGATACTTAGGTTGGTTCCATATTTTAGCTATTGTGAATTGAGCTGCTATAAACATTCATTTGGCTGCATCACTGTAATATGCTGATTTTAAGTCCTTGGGAGTAGGATGGCTTCTGAGGAATTTCCATTCAACTTTCCACAATGGTTGCACCAGTTTGTAATCCCACCAGAAATATATCAATATATGAGTATATCTTTTTCCCTACAACCAACATTTATTGTTACTTGTTATTCTTGATATCTGCCATTCTGACTGGGGTGAAATGAAATCTTAGAGTAGTTTTGATTTGTATTTTTCTAATTGCTAGAGATATTGAACATTTTTTCATATATTTGTTGATTGATTATATTTCTTCTTCTGTGAAGTATCTGTTTAGTTCCTTAGTCCATTTATTAATTGGGTTATTTGATTTTTTTGGTGTTAAGTTTTTTGAGTTCTTTATATATCTTGGAGATTAATGCTCTAATCTGAGGTACATGTGGTAAATACTTTCTCATATTCTGTAGGCTTTCTCTTCACATCATTTTTTTCATTTGCTGAGAAGAAATTTTTTAGTTTGAATCCATCCATTTATTAATTCTTGATTTTACCTCTTGCACTTTAGGGGTCTTGTTAAGGAAGTAAGATCCTAAGCAAACATGGTGAAGATTTGGGCCTACTTTTTCTTCTATTAGTTGCAGGTTCTCCGTTCTAGTGGCTAAGTCTATCTATTTACTTTTTTGTAGTGCTGAGACTCAAAGCTAGTGCTTCATATGTGCTAGGCAAGTACTGTACCACTGAGCCACAACTCTAGCCTCAGTCCTTAACAATTTTAATGAATGTTTTATTCTTGATCTTTTAGGTACTTAGGTAAACTTTATAAACACACAGTCTTAGCATTTTTAGACCAATTTCTTCATCTTTAAGAAATTGCATTAATCAGTTTTGCACTGTTAAGATTTTCAGAACTTTACTGACATCAGCGTGATTGCTTTAAAAAAGTAAATTTAAAATTAGATATGTTCGTAAATTAAGAAAAGGAAATTAAAATCTCCACTATTTTATTCAGTAGTTTTCTAATTATAGAGCTACATTAGAATTTTATATCAGACATGAGAGCAGAGGCTAATTTGAAATTTCATTCTGTATGAACTTTATCTTATTATTTACCTTTCATCCAACACTGTACTTTGATGTCTTGAGTGTGAGTGTGTAAGTGTGTGAACTTCCCAGGATCCTTTTCTATGTTTTCTTATTTGTCTCTTTAACTTTACAGCCAGTGCATTTTATTTATCCACATAAGTTTATTAATACAAGCAGTATGTGCCATGCACTATTCTGAACCATGGGAGATACTATCCTGAACAAAATATGTGAATAAATTTATCACCTGATGAATCCACATTCTAGAGGGGGATAGAGACAGCAAACAGACAAATAAGTAAAATATATATGATGGTAGAGTTAAATGAGATGTATATCATGATGGTAATAAGTGATAATTAGGAAAAGGAGATGGGAAATTAAGTGGGGATGGGAAAGCAGGTATTGAATACCTGGTAGGGTGGCCAGAGTAAACCTCACTGAAAAGGTTACATTTGATTTAAAGACTGGAAAACAGTAAGGGATCTATTACCCACATGGCTGTCAGAGGAATTAATTCAAGCAGCAGAGGAGAGAGCCCCAGGAAGGTGTAAATGTGGCAGTTGCAAAACAAAAAGGAAGTGAAAGTGACTGGAGGGAGGTTTATAAAGAGGGGAAATAGAAGAGGTAAGAAAGACAATAGGGAGGAATGATATAGGATCTGATAGGACACTGTAAATAAAGAATTGGCTTTTAATTTTATTCATTTTTGTTTTGCTAAGACTTTGGCTTTTATTCTGAGGGAAATGAAAATGTTGAGCAAAGCCCTGACTGCTGTGTTGAGTTGCCTAAGGGTGGAAGAGGAGAAATGGTATATTTGGGTTTAAATATTGGTGTGGTGGTTATTATTGTTTCATTGTATATTATACTTCTATGACCTGATGCATATCTTTGTTTCTAAATTTGATATAAGAATGCCTTCCAGGGTAATCCAGTTATTCACTGATAAGAATTTTTTTTTGAGAAAATGTAATTTATATTTGAATATGAATTGAAAGTTTCCCCCCCTATATATCCATATTTAGAATAGCTAGATCATCTGTTTCACCAGTGAGTAATTTGAGACACTGAGAGCTCTTGCTCAGTGTAAAATGTATGAATATCTTCCATGTGAAATATTCTTAAGCATCAGAGCTGATAGATCAAAGCTGGCCTGGCTACTTTGTACAAAAGTTCTTTAGGCAATTTTTTAACAACTACTCTGAGTTGACTATAACACAAAGTGTCTTGAGTTTAAATATATATAGTTAAATAGTAAACTCCCCCCGCCCCATCTCCTTAATGTGTTTTTGTTCCTCAACTGATAAAACAGATATGTATGTACGTTTAAGTTTTATATAAATTAAATTCTGATGAGTTAAATCTTTATACCATGGAAAAAGAGCTTTGAGTTTTTAACCTTTAAGTGGAAAAACAGTTGCAGTACTGCAAATAGTATCAAATTTAGATAGTTTTCAGTGTTCTTATCTCTGTCTTGTTTTTTTTTCCTCTTCTTTTGACAGCACTTTATCATTGAGCTATATCCCCAGCCAGCCTAAAAGTTCTCATTTTTTATCCTTTTTACCTGACACAACATAATTATACAGTATGATAACTAAATATATGTGTACCACATGTAATGGTTAAATCAGGGTAATTGCATTTCTATCTACTTAAACATTTGTGTTTTTTGGGGGAGGCGAGCCTTCAAACTCTTCTCATTCTTTATAAAACATATATTAATATTTGTAAACTATAGTCACCTTAACATGCTATAAAGCATTATAATTTATTTTCTTTATATAATGTATTTTGATACTTGTTATCCAGCTTCTTTCTCTTCCCCTTCCCTATCCCCTTCCTAGCTTCTAGTGATCACTATACTGCTCTCTAATTCTATAAAATAGGAAGTTTTTATTTCTTAAAGTTTTCTTTAAATTGTACACACCCATGTCTGTATCTGCATTTATTTGCTACATATGTTCACATGGACTTTTTGTGAATGGTCAGAAGATTTTATTACATTGTATCATAATGCTTCTTGAATTGAAAAATATGGCCAATATGACATTTTTAGTTGCTATATTTACTGCTATGAGTTCATCCATGTAATGGCTTACCCAGAGGTCAAAATTGTCTTAATAAGCTTTGGGAAAATGCTACTTACCTGGTGATCTGAAATAAAAATATACTAAAATTTGAGCATGTTGGTATGTGAAGTTTTGTCACTGGTACATTATATTTCTTCGTTAAGAGTGCATGAGTCAAGTAGGTGGTGCATGCCTATAATCCTAGCAACTCAGAGAAGCTAAAGTAGGAGGTTCTCAAGTTCAAAATCAGCCTCAGCAACTTAGCAAGACCTAGTTCCTTTTTTTTTTTTTGAGAGAGAGAGAGAGAACTTTTTAAATATTTATTTTTTAGTTATTGGCAGACACAACATCTTTGTTTGTATGTGGTGCTGGCACACATGCCAGACGAGCGCGCTACCGCTTGAGCCACATCCCCAGCCCAAGACCTAGTTTCAAAACAAAAAATAAAAAGGGTTAGAGATGTAACTTAGTGGCAGAGCATCCCTCAGTTCAACCCCAGTACAAAAAAGAAAAAAAAAGTGCATAAATGAGTGTTTTGGGTAATACATAACAGCATAGAAACGCCAACTAATTACTATGTTGATAATAAATGATCAGGGATTCAAATATTTATGATTGCATTAGTTACATGTCTTGAAACTTTTGATATGATTTTTAATAATCCAAAATTTTATCAAATGGAATTATCTGTAGATATATGTTAACATATTTTTTATTCCTTAACTTGAAAGTATTGTAAGCTTTGTTTCCTTTGGTTATCATTTTGACAAAATGCATTTCAGGTCTTTTAGTTTTTTTTTTTTTAACTCTTAATATATATATTTTAGTTGTTGATGGATCTTTATTTTATTCATTTATTTATATGCATTGCTGAGACTCAAACTCAGTGCCTCATACTTGCTAGGCAAGTGCTCTACTGCTGAGCCACAACACCAGCCCTTTCTTTTTACTCTTAATAAACTTGAATTGGGTTTACTCAGTATTGAAATTAATGTTTTCTGTCAAAAGGTTGATATTGGAGCTTTAGTTATCCATTTAAAATTTTTACCATCTTAACTAGCTTAAGCAGATAATCCAGTAGTGTTAAGTGTATGCATGTTGTTGTGTTAAATGTTGTTGTTAAATGGAACTGAATTTCTGATGAATGTAGTCTTTCTGAAACAATGTCTTCATATTTGTTTTACCTTATTGTTCTCTCTCCAGAATCTGTATCGATTTGAGGGCACTGGGTTTACAAACATCCCTCAACTAATAGATCATCACTACACAACAAAACAAGTCATCACTAAGAAATCAGGTGTTGTTCTGCTGAATCCTATTCCTAAGGTAAGTGTGCTTAAACACATAATGTTTGCTTTAAAAGAATGCCTGGTGAGTTAACATTTTCCCTGGTAAATAAAGTTCTTAGACCATGTGTCTGAAACTCAGAAACAAAAAAGTTTTGTGCATACCACTACCAGTATACCAATACAGTTGAAGTATAGGATTTCCTTAAATTTTTTTTTGGGGGGGTGGGGCGTGGGAGGTATCAGGGATTGGACTCTGGAGCACTCAACCCACATCTCCCACCTTATTTTGAGTTGCTTAGTGCCTCGCTTTTGCTTTTGGGTCAGACTGGCTTTGAACTCAGGATCCTCCTGTCTGAGCCTTCTGTGCCGCTGGGATTACAGGCATGCACCATTGTTCTCGGCTGAATTTCCTTAATTTTATAAGTTGTTTGCCTAGTATTTGCTAGGATATAATATCTGAATTTCTCTCCCTTTGTTTTGTAGTTTTTCTTGAAAGACTTGAGGCTTTTCTTTAAGTTTTATACTTTGAAAGCTTCAGGTTATAAAAGACTAAGCAATGTAGACTTGAGTGATATTCAGCAGTTAGGAGTAAATTAGAATTTTACCTTTAGATGTGAGGTTTCCAAGATTCTGGAACTTTTAAAAGCTATGCTACAAATTCAGCAAATCATAATTTCCCTGTGTAGAGCCAGATAGGTAGGTGAGAGATTGCTTTAGGTCACTTTTATCTCTAAGATATATCAAAGAACTCCTTACTTTCATGTGATATACACAAGATTGGTTAGGTAAGAAATGGGTGTGAGCAAGGTTTGTATTTTTAAAACAAAACCTGTGGGGACCAGAACAAGTGCACTGTGAGCTGACTTAGCCTCTAAGCACCTTCAGTGTTCAGAAATTAGGTTGGGACTGTAACTTTTTTTTCTTTTGGCAACTGTCTGATATGAAGAACAGCATAGAAATAGGAAAGTCACAAAACTTGATGGATAATATTTATTGATTTTTATAGATTAAAGGATGGCTTTAATTTTGAAATACATTCCACTACTAAGAATTCTGTTACATAACCCAGATTTAGGGACTTGAAAAAATAATTGTTACATTTTCTGTTGTTAATCTAGAAAACAATGTCCATATTTAAACTTTATTATATTGCTAGGTCTTCACTGAGGGGCTGAGCTTTAGAAGTTCTCTCATAGAAGATTTTGATAGTTGGTTGCTAAACATTCTAATTCTATAGTTTAAGGACTTTACATTCTTATTTTTTAATATTTATTTTTATTTATTTTTTTTTAGCTGTAGTTGGACACAATATCTTTATTTATTTATTTTTTTATGTGATGCTGAGGATTAAACCCAGGGCCTCACACATGCTAGGTGAGCACTCTACTGCTGAGCCACAACCCCAGCCTAGGACTTGACCTTCTTGTATAATTTTTTTTAAAGTTGCAAAGTTGTTTCATTCTTTGTTAATATTTTCCATTTAATTATAGAAAACCCCATACAAATTCTCTAATCTGGAACAGGTTGTGACATTTTTTTCTAGAAAATGAAACTAGTTTGCTGGAATTTCTTTTGTTTATGAATAAATACTATTTTTCACAGAATTCCCATATCTTTTTATGTCAGAGTAATCTATTCTCATGGTTTCATTTATTATTTATAAATTAATAACTAGTAAATTTATATTTCTAATGCAGCATTAGCTTTCCCCAAACTCAAGAATTTCCCTAACTTTTACCTCAAACTCAGTTTAACATTTAACTCTAAAAGTTGTTCTTCTTCATTTAGTAAGTGGTACCACAAAATATCCCAGTTCTCAAAAATCATAAACTAATGGGTCATCTTTGACATCTTCACCACTGCTTCCCTCCCTAAGTGGTGGGAGTTTTATAGTGTTAATTGTACATTTGGAGTGTGACCTCAATTTCATTAAATCCTAGTGTAAATCAAATTCGGTGCAAGAAGATACTTTTTACCCATGTAAGGTTAACAACATGTAGAACTGGGTTTTCAGAGATACGGATATCCTATTTCACAAGCCAACCAAATATTTTCACTGTCTAAAGGTTTAGAAAAGTCTCAAGTTGAGAGACCAGAGCTATAATAGAGAGAAACAGCAATGCAGATCTGGGCATGGGTATGAATACATAATTTCAAGTGAAACAGTACCCCTTACTATATAAAATTTTCTGTGAAATTAACGCAGATAATGGATTAGATTTTCTGGACTATTACATGGTCAATTATTATCTTTTTCTCCAACCTCCAACAATGTGAAGTTGATTATATCATCATTTTATAACACTAGCTATGAAAATAAATGTATGCTGGAAGCTATAGAAGATTAAAGAGCTATATATGATTGTTTTACGAGGTAGAAACTTAGTTTCTACCTGACTATTAAGTTGATTTAAAGTACTGGCATTTGAAATATGGAAATTATTATCTCAGTTCATTATAAATATTGTTAAACATTTGATTTATAAAGAATCATATTACTCTTTTAAAAAGTAATCACAATGCAGAGGTTGTGAAAGTTAGATAATTTTCAATTATGACTGAAGAACAAATTGATATGGATTTTGTTATGGTAGTATTATCTGTCATATATCTTCCTTTGAAAAAGTTATCTGTACTCTTAAAACCAATCCCTTTCTTGATTTAATTTGTGTAAGAAGTTAATATCTATGACCATATAATATGCTATAAATATCTAATTTTCACCTTGTTAGACTTCATTTTTAGCCCACATAAAGAATGTTATTTTGCTTTGAATATAATTTTCTATTTATTTCTCTTCCCATTTATTTTTTCTCTTACCCATGAAAATTCAAATTTATTATTCTAATACTGACAGTGACCAAAGTAGTCTCTCTTATATTTATGTCCTTATAAGTATTCACTCAGAGGTACACGAAATAGAGCAATCAGAGGTGAAGAATTTACCTAACTTTAACGCAGTAATAATGCTAGTGAGTGCTCACACTATCCATTCCTCATCTTCCATGAACTGATTTTTCCTATACTGCCTCCTAGAGCCTGTGTGAAGATATAGAAGATGGAAAATATTGTAAGCAGGGCATATTGAAAACCCATTATAATTATCCTGGGATTAGCAAACATAAAGGACATGCATATGGTCTGTTCTTTACTTAGTTCAGGTTCTGCTGAAATATCATTTTTCAGACAGGTCAATGCAGAATGCCACATATAAAATAGCACATTCTCTTCTTTCCCCTTTTTAAAATTTCTATGTGTCATGGTTATGTTTATCTACTATTTAATGATGTCTCTTTTTTTAATGATATCTTTTTAATTGTTTACCTCCCATAAGTGAAATATAAGCTCCATAAAGTCAGAATTATATTTAACAATTACTGCAGCCAAGTCCCCAACCAGAGAGTGCTGTACCAGAGTAGGTATTCAATAAATATTTGTTGAAAAATTGAATGCATTCAGCAGTTGCAGAACTTTTGAATTCCTCTCTGTCAAAAGTCCCCCTCTCCCTACATCAACAGTGCTGGCCTTTGAACCCTGGTTCTCTGCCATGCTAGGCAGGTGCTGTCTCACTTAGATATACCCCCAGATGCCCACTGGATTTTTAATAAGTCTCTATACAAGGAAAATCATTAAGCTCTAGTATTGTGTGAACAGAGTTGAGATATGAGTTAAACTTAAGGTTTGGCAAATATGTGTGAAAGAAGGACATCTAGTTTAAGTTTAACATGTAAATTGCACTATAACAGCTTTGTTAAATTCAAAAGTTTTCAGATTTAGCTTTTTTAAGAAAAAAATCTATCTGATTGGAAATTAAATTTTAAAAAGTTCATGATTAAATGAAGATCAGTTAGGCAGAGAGCCATTAATTTACTCCCTAGAAGCTTGAATCAAGTAGTTATGACTTTTTACCAGAATTTGGTGTTGATTGTGAGAATATTAGAGGCATATTTTTGAGAGGAAGTAACCTGTATGTTTGTGAACATATTATCTTGTTATCAGGAGACAGGTTTGTGGTAACAGAATTTGTAATCATACATGTGCAAAAACAGTTATGATTAAGTTCTTATGGTTAGGAGAGGAGAATTAATCTTAAATTAAGTTCTTTATTCATATTTTTAGTTTCAGATGACTTAAAGACTACTTATTTTACTTTATATTTAAGTGACATAGCTTGCCTCTTCCAATATTACTGTTTAATTATTTTTTATAGAAACTTATGATAACAGTTTTTGATATGCTGAAGTCTTTTTAATATAAAGCATTATGAAATCAGAGACTTCCTTTTTCTTAAGTCACTATCCATTTCCTTAATACATTGAGATTGATTGGGTAAATTTGAAAATAACTTAAAAGTTCAGTAAAGAAAGAAGAATGGAAAACATACATGAGCCAGTGTTTTCCCATGAAGTAGATATTTACCTAAGTACCTACTAGTATCTAGTACTCAGTCTGTGCTGAGCAGTGTTTGGTATTATGACAGAATGCAAAAGTGCTATGAAAATAAACTAGGATAAAGATATAAAGATATAATGAGGGCTTAGGTTAGGTATTGTGTGGTGTGTGTGTGTGTGTGTGTGTGTGTGTGTGTGTGTGTGTGTGTGTATGGGATAGTTGCTGTTTTTAAACATTATGATCAAAGAAGGCCAAATGTATTTTGTGCAGAGATGTGAATCAAATAAAGAAGTTATATGTGTGGTTATATGCAGGGATAATAATGAAATGTTTTAACAGTGTAGTATGAGATGAGATATCAGCTGTAATCAACTGGTAGAGCCATCCATGTGTTAAATGGTGGAACATCTCTATGTGTACCTGGGGAAAGAGTTCCTTGGTGTTATGAGGAACTGCAGAGGCTACTGTGCCAGAAACAGTGATTGAAGGAAGAGTGATGGGAGATAAGTACAGCTTTGGATTAATTTAATAACTAAATATATGCTGTCTTAAGAAGTTAGTTGTTTATTATGTAGTCTAAGAAATTTACTTCATTTGAATAGAAACTTAGAATAAACTTTTATAAGTTTACATAGTGAGTCTCAT